CTTAATTAGCATTTTTGCCTACTTATTATTCAACTTGCTTTGTAATCATTCATTCAACTGAAGATGACAGAAGTTCTGTCAAAACATGTCTTTTAAACTAAAAAAATTGGTCGTTTTCCTTAAAATCTTGTAATTAGTTGTTTTTTTCTTGTTATTCATATAACAAGTACAGCACAATTTTTAAGTTGTTAACACATGTAAGGCTTCTAATCTGCCACAGTCGAATTTGAATTAAGTGTTTTCTTTGTATAAAAATTATCAGGTTGGATAAAGGCTTTCATTCAGCTCTTAGTCTGTATCTTGGAGATGGGATTAAGAAAGACATGGAGATGGTTGCTAATGGAGAAACTGTTTTGGAAGAAATGCAAAAGTTGCTAGCTACAACGTCAATGAATCTAATTGTGTAAGATATATGAACAAGTCATAACATCTTAATTTTAATTGTTAGATGTACAGCTCTGGAAAATATCCTTTTCACAGAAGATCACTGTCCAGAAATTCTGAGGGGGAGGGGGCTCTCAAATGCTGAAAGTGTTAAACGAAAGAGTGATGCTAAAGTAGAATTTCTCCTTTGGAGGATGGTTATTTTCTAGAACAGCACAATTATTATTATGTTAACTAGAATTCTACTTGTGCACCAATGAAATGCTGCAATATGATTGGTTGAGCTGATGTGCACCATCAGCCATAAGTAGCCACTATACTGTGTTTCAGTATTAATTTATAACATCAAAATATGTCATTGATAATACACACCACATCTATTTTACTGGTCATATATTCTACAGTTATGTATTCATATATTCTACAGTTATGATTACCATGTGATTGTGCTGAAAGTTTCTTTTCTCCCAAGCAATAGACGTGATAAAATGTTATTGACCTTGTTTTTCTCAATCCACACTGGATGAAGCAGATCATATTTTGTCAATGCCAGTTTATGATCCATATTGATTTATTGTCCATAATAATTAGAAGGAGAAACCTTAGGGCCTCTTAACCTGGAGGTGGGGGACCCCAGGTAGGTGAGGTAACCCACCCAGACATGTTCGCAAAAATAGCCCACTTTTACAAAATATGTTCAATCTTACAATAATCTCGAGCTTATTGTGCAGTCACTTAAATAAGCAGTTAAAATGGTGGTCCATACTCTTTTCCTTTCACTAGCTGCTTTTGCTGTGATGTTTCAGTGCTGTAGCTCTCAATATTATTTCACTGTTAATGATGCAAAGCCTCTGCCACTGGCCATTTAACTGCTCAGACAACACTGCATGACTTCAACACATTCAAAAACAAATAAATTTTTGGAGGCTTCATGAATGTAGCATATGAAAAAAATTGGGGGAGGATGTGCTTGCATATGTATCATGAACACAACCATGGCTGGACGGGTTACCTCACCTTGAGATGTTTACATAGCAAATTGTGATCCCGGCTGACAGGGTTACCCTACCCTGCAGACCAGGCAACCTGCCTAGAGAGGTTACCCCACCTATCATGCAAACATGATCAAATTAAAATGAGAGGTTATGTGGATGGGCAGGTTACCCCTCTTGGGCTGGTTACCTCACCTACCTACAATCATGGACAAAAATGTTGACACACTAGAGCCAAACAAACGCTTTCTATCGGCGTCCTTCCATAACTGAAAAAAACATCTTTTTTTTGATAGCCAAACCCGCCTCTCCCCCTTTTCAATGTTGAAATATGCTCCATGGACACTATCACGTGGTTACAACATTGAAAAGGGGAGAGGAGGTCGAAATGTGAAAATTAGAGATTGAAAAACTCAATTGTTCAACAAAACAGGTTTTTGGGGGAGAGTGTCTCAACTACTTTTGTCCATGATTGTGGGTTCCCCCACCTCAACAGGCCCTTAGGTCATATGTAAAAGCCTGAAAATTCCTGACACCAAATAACGGAGTGACTAGCATGGTTACCACTTAATTTCGCATCCTACATTTTAAAGCCTGTCATGGTATCCATCATCACCTCTTTGAATATGAGAAATTGCTGCAAGGATGTGCTGGTAGTATTATATTAGTCTTGTGGCTGTCACACGTTAGTCAGTCATTAGCTCATTGCTATTGCAGCCGAGCTCAACTAGCTCTGTATTGTCAATCCAGTTTTGTATTGCCTGCGTACATGTAGCTTGTGATTATAAACTCCTTCTTTCCAAACTCGTGGTCTGTGGACCGTAAGGTCATTCCACTGAAATAGAACCTGCACTGAGATTTTTGTAAAACTTTGCCTATTGATTGTTTATATTATAGGAGCTTATATTATGGGAACCATGTTCATTTAGGGGCAACAGCACCTTGGTCATACCCATATAAATCCTTATAATAGCACCATGATTGTAGTCACGATTGCTTGCTAAATTCATGTTTCCGAC